ACTCCACGGCCATCCAAACTGAATATTTGAACTTGTCTTTCCAGTGAAAGTTCCATCCAATGTAAACTGTTGAACTCGATTATTTCCCCGATCACATAAGAAAACGTTATTATGTTTGTCAACACATAAGCCATGCGGCTGATCCAACTGTCCATCGCCGTTTCCATTTTCTCCAAACTTGTACAAAAACTGTCCTCTCTCATCAAACACTTTCATACAGTTATTATTATGGTCAGTTACAAAGAACCTTTCCTCGTAACAAACGCAGTCGGCGGGAAGATCCAGCCTTTCTGGACCGCTGTCTCCAAACTTAAACACAGGTTCACCATCCATTGAAAACACCTGAATTCTGCTGTTAGCAAACTCCGCTACAACGATAAAACGTCCATCACTTGTAATACAAACACTTACAGGAAACATAAACCCTCCATCTCCACTTCCCTTTTTTCCAAAGCTTTTCACAAAGTTCCCTGTCTGTACATTCAACTGCTGTATTCGTTGATTACCTTGATCAGCCACCAGAATCTCGTCATCGTTTAGGAACGTGACGTCAGCTGGATTCTTTAATTGTCCATTCTCATCTCCATAAGAACCAATTTTTCGCACAAACTTTCCTGTCTCATCAAATACCAGGATACAGTGACCTCCATAATCAGCCACAGCAATAACACCTTTACTGTTCACTGCAATACCGGCAGGACCTTGCAGCATTTCTCCCCGAACGTCCAACTTGCCTATAACATTTAATTCTCGTGCTTTGACCAGAATAGAATATGGACTCTTGGCAAGTTTCTGTCCATTTATCTTTACTTCTATTTTATAAGGACCAGGTAATTTCGCTACAAATTTTGCTTGGAAATTTCCATCTTCTTTTTCACTCGTCACCAAGCTCCTCACCTGATCCGCAGGGTCTATGTGTATTTCAACACGATCTGTGTGCTGAGTGTTTCTGATTTCTCCTTCGCTTGTTTTGGGACAAATCAGTAGCTCTGCTTCTACACCAGCTTGAAAATTGTGGTCCAGTCCTTCCACGACCGATCCTTGCACATCTGTTTCGCTGAATCTCGTAAATCCCAGACTCAAACTCTCTGGTTCACATGTCGTCACAAATTCTACACACGAGTTAACCGGAAGTGCTGGCATTGTGGTCTTAATGAGGTCTTTGATTCGTTCTTCTACATTTTTCTTGTTTTGCATTATGTCTGAA